CAATGTTATCGGCTAGAATGAAATATTAAAAAAAAAACAGAACCGACTGAAACTAGCCAGCATCAGTCAAACTGGTGAAATGTACGAAAATTTTCTATTTTGGTTGGTTCCCATCAGATCTGATGCATATTTATGTAATTCTATGAAATTGCATCAATAGAATTGGATAACACAATCAATACTATCAACATTGATAGTCGACATATTAACAACAGAGTTAAGTATTTCAGACCCTTCTCGGTCTAGTTCTAGTTTCGAACTTAGTGTTTGACCTATGATTTTGGCTCTTGTATTCAGATATAATCAATTCAAATCTGCCTTGAAAATTCTAGTTTAGCTTTTTTATGAAGTCTTATTTTTTCAAGTTTTCGGATAAAAATATAATTATTCAACATACCTAAAGTAGTCTGATTCATTAGCGCCTTGTTGTTCCTTTGTATAGCCATGCTCGCTATCAACTGGATGCGAATATTTTGAGCGATGATCTTGATCGTTACTTTAATGAAAGATAACAATGAAACAGGATAGAATATAGTTTTTACCGAATCGGTTATTTTCTAGGTTTTATGTATTTAAAACCACTGAAACGGATTCAGTGTGAAGTAGATTATTGAATCTTTCTTGGTATTTAAGTGTTTAGAAAATGATATTCACAGTAGTAGCCAAAAGTGTCTATTTACACAGCTCTCAGTTACTTTCGGTAGTGGTGTTTTAAAGATATGCGCCATTATACTTGATTGTGCTGTAATTATTTACAGTCCAAGTGGTAGTGTGACGAATGAAACTAATGACAGCTGTTTTTCTTTCAAATTTTATAACGCTTAAAACAGAGTTTTGCGAGACAATCGAGGTCAATTTATGTAGTGCTACGCTCTAATTTTCACTTCCTCTACGTTATTGTATTGCAGTTCATCAACTTATTATAGAAATGTGGTTTATATACTACAATCCCTTGTATGAAGAAAAGTCACTGGCTTTTATTTGGAAGTCTTTAATTCAATGAGGGAAAAATAAACCTAATACAAAATTCTCAAGAAATTTACTAGAATATTTAAAATTCAAACTCATACGAAATGCAAATAGAATATCAAAGATTAGTCTGTACATGTTGTCGAACTGCAAATAGATAAAGAAATTAATATTGGATCAAATTAATATATACTTATAGGCAGAAAAAACTACAGACTTAGCTCCAGTTACATTAAAAAACGAATCGAGAAATAGTCATGCAATTCTTTAAAAAAATCTTGCTAGAGTTAGACAATTTTTACAAGTTATGCAGCTCAAAAGAACAACAAGTACTATCTATCATAATATTTGTTGCATTTGAACGATCAGATGACGAATATTCTGCATCTGACTTACATTACTGGCGAGATACATGAATATAAACTTTCCGCCCTTCACTGCAAATTGTAGTCGTTGCCGGCGTGCAAATAATGACTTATGTACACTACTGTAAATCATTTTTAACATAAAGAAGAATTACATACCGATAACAATATACTCCGTAGCGACATTTTGGGTTTTCAGAAAGTCCATCAGCGGAGACTGCTAGTACATGATAATCCGAATCACCTGGATGCGCAAATTTTTCGCGATGATCAAGATCTGTCCTATAAAGAGATGAAACAAGAGTTTTTCAATATTCTATAAAAACACAGGTACAAAACCTATTGCATTTCCGACCATATCGACATGCACGACGTTTTTCAACTTTTAATAAAAATAAAAACGAAAATCTTGTCTTTTAAATGATATCTTGAACATTGATTCAATTTCATATTTACCTGATGTCCTCCTGGACGGTAAAACAGGTCTACCAGTATAATGGTCAGGCTGTGTAAGTTTAACTAAAGATAATTAGAGAAACACAAACCATTAGAAAGAAATTCTACGAGTGACAAAGTCTAGAGCAAGAAAAGTCGTCTGCGTATTTAAGTGAAATCAGTGGAAGCATGATAGACCTATTCAACTTCAACCGAAATCTATTTTCTATGTATGATATTCGATAAATAATATCTTCTAGATCATGATTATATTAGAAACGATAGAAAACTTAGAGTTCTTTTGTCATGGCTCAAACAAAAGTTGATAACTTTTCTAAAGCAGAATAGAAAAGTTCTTCGAAGAGAAGAAGAATAGTTATTAACTTGCCTAACTCTTGCCGAACATCATCAGGTACTTCCATATAACATACATCATCCACAGGACAAAAACTTTTATGTAGTGATTCAACAATCTTTCCGAACACTGGATGTGCTTTTAATTGTTTAAGAGTTTCTTTAGCACTTGAACGTTCATCTGGATTTTTTCTTAGTAAAAGTTCAATGATCATTCTATAACCATCGGTCACTGGTACAACAATATCTTGTGCAAATCGATCATTACAAAAATGTTTATATTCTTTTTCATCATTCCATGGAAATTCACCACAAAATAAAAGATAAAACATAACACCAGCTGCCCATACATCAGACTTTTTATGGAGATGTCTTGATATACGATTTTTTGAATCATACCGTAAAAATTCTGGTGAAGCAAAAAATACAGTATGAACTTTGTCTGCATCAACTGTCAGTTGCTCACGTTGAGTATACATTTTTTCGGCTGCACCAAAATCAATTAACTTAATACAAAAATATTGTTTAGTTGGAACGAGAACAATATTATTTGGCTTTATATCACCATGAATAATATTTAATCTTTCAAGAAATGCTAATGCACGCAGCACATAAACAATAATAACCATGCCAAAAATTGATATCTCTTCAACTTTTTCATAGAACGTTTTATTTTTCCAAAATGTGTGAAGATCACAAATAGCGTATTCCATTGCAATAAAAATACCTTCATTGGTTATTTTACTACCGCGGTATTGGATAACTGGATGATTATCAATAAGAATTCGCTTTGTTACACGTAAAAAATTAATTTCATTTTTTATTTCTTCTTGTATGTCAGGTGTATTTTCCAAAATTTTAATAGCAACTATACGGCCTGTATTCTTAACTTTTGCCTTATAAATTTTACCAAAACCACCTCGACTAACATAATGAATGACTTCATATGTAGTACCTGCAATTTCTATTTCTGATTTTTCGTCACTGATAACTGTTGCATTCGCTTTTGATTGTGCTACTGCTAATAACATTGCAACCATTTGTTCAAAGGTTGCTTGTTGTTGCCGTTTATTTGCTTCTTCTTGAGCAGCAAGCTGTTTTTCCATATCAGTATTTAGTTTCATAATTAGTTTTTGTTCTCGTTCTAATGCATCAATCTTTGCTTTTGAATGGGTGAGCCCCATTGCTCATAGAAAATCAGAGTGTATATAATAATAACAAATGAAATAGACGCGCGCACATATAGACAGAACTTCAAGTGAAATGCACTTAAACAAAAGCACACATCGTCAAAATCTTTTCTTTCTTACATTCATCTTTATCGTAATATAAAAAATGAATTGCTTTTTATGTAACTTAACTTTCTTTCTTTCTTTCTTTCTTTTTCTTTCTTTTGTTGTTGTTGATAAAAAGAATGACATGTGCTATTGTTTCATTTTTGCTTGGAAGAAACCAGTAAAATTATTTATAGTAGAAACATCATGTTTCTTATTTCCTAGTGCAAACAGTCGATCTTTGACAAAACATAAACCAATCAATAGCACAGTTTGATTAGTAATACAAAAACAAGTCTGTTACGGACCTTGAAGCAAAGTGTGTAATATTCATCATGTACTGAGTTACTTCTGTATGCCATGCCATTTTAGTCTGAAGAGGGAAGAGAGTACGACAAGAAGACTGTGAAGTATTATGTATGCGCTGTTCTACCGTGTTTTAACATATATCTCCTAAATAAATACGTACTGTCAAGTTTTGGGAAGAAAAAAACTGGAAACCAATGAACTGTGGAGGCAGTATTGTGAGCGGAAAAGTCTGCAGATCTTTTAGTTAATTTTATATTCTCTCTTACAAGAAACAATCAAAAATCACTAAAAAAAATTCGGAGACAAGTATTTTATCGCATGTTTCTCACTAGCTTCGTCGAAATTCGCTTGTTTCAGGAGATCGAAACCAATTATCGACGTAAGCATATCATGAAAATGTGAAACACTATTCAAACACATATCCATAATTAATTTAGAAAGACTTACTATTCCTGAAATAGTAAGAAACCTTTCAACGAAGTCGAATCCCTTAGAAAAGTGGCTGAATATGGGTATGAACTTGTATGTGAAGCTTCGATGCTTTTTGGTCTTTACCTCTCATCCTAAGATACCTATTGCCATTCCTGATTTACTGCCATCCACACCAAAACACCTTATACTAAATTGTAGAATGCACATGTTCCCGAAGAGAAGTATAAAAGCTTGATCAGATGAAAAAGTAGTGATGCAGATTTCAACAATTCTCTTCACTCAAAAGCATTGAAATTTTTTTTATTTTTCTTTAGAAATTCTTCATCCATATCCATGTTGTGTGAGTCGAAGTGAGTCCAACAATAGACTTAGAGAGAATGAATAAAAGAAAAATTTTAATGTATTATATCTTATAAAAGTTTCCCTATCACATATATACTCTTTACTATTCTGGATTTCTTTTCCATAGAGAGTGAAGCGATTGGCGAGTAAGGGTGGTCTTATTACCATAAATCGTTATCTTTACTCTAGTCTCATACACACAGTCATCCTCATTAAAGAGAAATCAAGTCGAATTCATTTAGAATCAAGAAAATTCGATTCGAGTTTGTGAAAATTTCATCGAATTGTTTTACTTTTTATCGAACTATAGGAATGTGTATTCGATTCGAAAACCTATCTAAGTTTGACCGTAAAACGTAGGCCATTCTAGGTACTGATAGAAAATCTTTCAATAAGCATGCATATAGGAGAATAATATTCATACACTGACTATTATATATTAATTAAATTAGTATCAATCGAAAAAATAATTTTTTTTTTCTTAGTTTTTACAATAAATATATAAAACTTTACAAGAGTATTATAGTTCCTTTGGGATAAGATTACATGTAATATTTGCTGCACTGTGATATTTAGACCATTCATCGTTAGCATGATAAAAAACTAAAGTATTATTAACGATGGCAAATAATTCAGGACCTCGTTTACTAATTTTTTCGTAATATGATGCTGTTGGATCACATTCAGCACCTTGTCGATTGAATTTGTGCTTAAGATTGTACCATGAAGATTCAATACCTTTGGCATGTACAAATTTAAGATCTTTGAGGCTAGTAAAGGTAAATTCACACATTTCTAACATCTTACGAGGCACTAAATTATGAATAAAATTTTCATTTTGTTTTATAAAAGATGATTTTTATAGTTAAGATTCGTTATAATTTCAAGTTCAACTTGAAAATATCTTCTAGAATAAAAAAAAAACATACCTGTAGCAATCTGTTCTTCCATAGAAGATTGTTTGAACCAGATAAATTGAAGCATTTCTACTCCTTTTTCCTTTTCTTGTCTGCCTTTAGCATATCCAAATGTATAATGTTCAAATGATTCAGTTATAAAATGCCCATCATTTGAACCAAATATATTGGTTTTTCTTCCATTAGTTGTATAAAATTGTATACCGATTATAGTAAAGTTTTTCTGAGATAAATTTTGATATAAATTTATTTTATTAATCTCTTCATTTGAATTCAACATGAAGTTATTTGAGAGTCGAGATGAGAGAATAGATAGTTCTTTGTTTTCAGTAGTAGAAGTAGTAGTACGTAAATTTGATAGTCGATTGTTAGAATATAAGAATTGAATAGAGAACAAAGCGCTACTAGACCATTTCAATTCAACACCGATACATCGATCAGCATAGAATAATTCATGATCTTTGGCATCGTTAAACGTCTCATTCTGAATAGGACTATTATCACCATATTGTAATCCTTCTTTCATAATATAAAATAGTTCTAGAAATAGTAAATTTAACAAATGATATGATTTTATTTAATTATGTCTTTACTTTTTTGCTCTAGAATCCTAGTAGATGTCGCATTATTCAATTTTGGTGGTTCAATAAAGAAATATCGAAATAGAATTAAGCAAATTATAATAGATAAGATAGTAATAACGATTAAAATAATAGAAAATAAACTACGTTTTTTATTCGATATATTTGAAATAATTGAAGACGATTGTTTTCTTTCATGTTCATTGTTATTATATGTTCCTTCGGAAAATGTATTAGTATTAGATGGTAGCATAGAACTTTCTAATTCAGTTGATGGTTCTTCAGAAATGGAAAATAAGTGTGGAAATTGTCTTGGGACATCATCTGTAATGAATATAAGAATCATTTGTTGAATTTAGTTTTGACTTACTAGAAACACTTCGCATTTTATCTTCTTCAATATCCAATACAGATTCATCAAATAATGATGATTCTGATGATATTGACGCAGCGATGGATGTTTTTATAGAATGTAATTTATATTCTAATGACAAATTTTTAAGATATCATAATCAAATGAAATAGATACTAACCTTTGAGTTGCTCGGAAATATCATTGCAATTAATTTGTTCAAATACATTAATTAAATAATCAAAATTTTGTCCAGTAATTAAATTTCGATCAAAAAGAGAATCAAGAAGATTTAAACTACCAGAAGGTGTACAATTATCTCGATCTTTACGTGGAACTTTATTACCAACAACAAAATGTAATGCTTGACGATCATTATCTGCCAATTGATTAAATAAGTTAATCAGAAGAGCTCGAAATTCCATAGTATTTATTTTTTTATTGATAATCTAAACAAAAGAAATCAAAGAATAAATGCATTAATGTTTACAATGAAGAAAAAAAAATACTTTCATCTTTTTCATCCTGATCTGATGAATTTAGAAACGAGCAAAGAAGAATCGTATCATTTTACATTGACTCATCGATCTATTGAATAGTTCTTCTCTTTTTTTTTTCTCTTCCTCTTCTTATATTTTTAATAGGCCATATATTAGACGCAATAAAAACGTGCGTTGGTTTTTTTTTCATAGAAGACAATAGATAAAAAAAAGTATTAAAATATGTGCATTGTACATGATGTTCGAGTAGATAATGCCATTATTTTATTTGATAATCGTTACTTAGGTTTTTTGTCTAAGATGATGTTATTAGATAAAAGAACACATCAGAGAAAATCTTTAATCTTGTAAATTTTTCTACTAATCTAATGTTAAATCAACGTATTATTGAGACAATAAATAATTATTAAACATTGTACAAACTCTGAAGACATTAACCAAATTAGATTATTTTTCTGTTATAATTCAATATAATATTGACCTTTGCTAGCTTCTTCGTTTTTTTCCTGTATCTTTCATTGCTTGAACAACTATTGTTCTTGAAATTCGAAGTTTCTTATATCCGATGATGAATATCGTTTATTTTATTTCTAAGTATATTTAATAAAAATCAATGTATATATGTATGAGAAATATACAGATAAATTCTTCAGGCATTTATCAATGTAAGTTTTGTACACATAATTATTTTATCGGTTCAGTAAGGTGATCATTCACTATGGACTTGAGCATAATGAAAGATTATTTTTTAGAAATGCTCGTTGTGTTGATTTGTTTTGTGCCATGTGTAATGAAATGTAGTTTTCATTTGCTTGAAAGTTATTGTCAAACTCATCATCGAACTGGAACTGACCATCAAAAACAGCAAGTTACAGACTTTACCATTCAGAAATAGATGATGATTTCATTACATTTTTATATATTTTTGTAATGTAACGATCGTAGTCATCACAAACAAATTAGGTGAATCAAATGATTATATTGCACATTTAGCAATAAGACCGTTCAATGAGATATCACTTCTTCCGAAAACCTCATCAGATCTATCATAATCCAATGATGTTAGTTCTGAATGAACTACTCTTTCGATTGATGCAATTCTTATGTTAATAGAACACGGTGATGTATGTTGGCCATGAACTTTGATCAATCGAATGATTGATTCCTCGTTATTATGAAAACAGACGTTGTTGATGATCATTCGAGTGCTCTTGATAATGAAGGTGTTCAATCTATATGTATCGATCAAATTCAGTACACTGATATAACTATCGATTAAATAGCAATTCATTAATTATTTCATTTAATGATTGCTGTAACTTATTTTTACATTAAATAATAAGATTTCTTGGAATTTAATACAAAGCATTGTTGAACTCCATTTAATTTTTTTTTGTCACTTCTTGTTTTTAAATATCAATATACAATAGAATCAAATGTTTCTTATTTTCTTGATAAAAATCGCCCGATAAAGTATCATTTTTATGAATAATTTCATCGATTTGTACGGCAAGTTTTTATTGATATTCATTGAAATGTTTTGGGCAAAATGATCATTTTCATTTATTACAGATAAATATATTATTTTTCATACATGTTGTATAGAATTTTTTCAAAGAAAACAGATACTATAACCTGTTAACACTTTTACTAAATAACAATACTGCAGCTTTTATCAAAGTTAATCAAAATAGATGAAACAACAAAAAAAAAATGATAACAATCGACAAAACTGCATTACTAAAAACCGAATGAAAGAAAACGAAGTCTTTATTATTTGCTTCTTCAAGAAATGCAAGATAGTTTATAACATTAACAGCTTTTTTGAACACGAATGTCTGTTAATGTTAGTGTTTGATGAAGCAGGTCATTTTGATTCTTTTCTGTAACTTTTGATGATGTAGAAAATAATTGAGCTCGAATATAACCACCAGCTATATCTAATGCACATCAAGTATTAGTTGACGTATTCAACAAATTGTTTTTATCAAATGTTTTATCATTCTCAAACCCTGATATGTATCTTGAATAATTAACAAAGATGAATTTTAAAAAAATCTTCAAAACAAATAACCGTAGTTTCTGTTGTAATAACGTTATTAATACTATATGGTTTTTCATTGACATTCATTCTAACAAAAATAAATAATCAGAAAATATATATTATTATAAAAATTATTATGTTGATCAAATTATTTTTCCATAAAAACTGACAAATTTAGTTTTTATGCTTGTAGGTATCAATCTCTGTTCTATCTGTACTAATCGATGCATATGTATGCGTGCAATATATACGCCGTACAAATTCGTTTTTTACCTATTCATTAAGTGTAATTTTTTAAATAAGCACCATTAACGTTTGTATTATGTACGGAGAATAAATACTGACATCCAATACATTGTCAACTTGCGATGTTTAATAATAATAGCATGGAATTTATCTTTCAAGATAAAGAAAAGACAGTGAGAATAAAATTTCCAGCAGAAATCGACGTTCTTTACTGGAAATGAGAAAAGATCATGGTACGAAATTTTTCACTCCAATAATCAAAACTGTTTTTAGAAATTGAGATAAACAAAAGACGCTTAGACACATAAACCATCGAACAAAAACAATTGAAAATCCTAAAAATAAGAATGAAGAAGAAGAAGGCTTAAAACAATAAAAATTTATTCGACCGATATGTTACAGAATTCAATTTCAATAAATGTGTATCACAAAGAAATTGAAGTTTATAGAAAAGTGTATTTATTAAATTTATGAATACGAACCATAGTAAATTTGACTATTCAAATCATTATATGATATTCTATTTCTGTTTTTAAGCATTATCTTCATCTATATTACAATTTGAAATGATTAAATTTCGTCATCATCTTCCATTAGTTCAACTTCAATTTCCCATTTATAACCGAAATAATGAACACTTAAAATTTTTAATTTAGTACCAACAGCTAAAAGAGCTTCTTTTTCTTCACGAAATGTACTCCATTTCCATATATTAGCTATATTTTTTTTTGCTTTTTCACTTGAATTTTCCGTTTTTAATATTAATATAGCATTTCCAGGATAGATTAATAAACGATCAATTGTAAATGATAAAAATGAATTCGTATAATAATAATTATTTCGCTTTTCAATATAATATTTTATTTCATTATCACTTAAATTTAAACCTCGATAATAGATAGGTTTAATGTTTGTTTTAATTAAACTACGTATTAATGAACGAAGTTTATTAACATATATCCAATCAATATCATCAAAATTAGCACTAAGTAAATTTAAATTTGTTTTCATATAACATTCATTTGTTTGACTATTTGTATATGATTTTAAAACATTGAACATATCATCAGTTAATTCATGTTCACTAATGTTGTTTGGATAAACTTCTTGAAAAAAAGGCCAATAGAGATTTTTTGTTAAAAGTTTACAATCAAGTAAATTAGTTTCAGGATTATAATAAAAATGTTCTGTATCATAAATTTCTGTTTTAGTTGCTAGCTGTTTTGGTAAATAACGGTTACTACGAACATTTACAATGCAAGACGCCATTTAGTCATTCAAAATGAAATAAAGAATGTAAAAAAAATACATTATATTTCGTGTTCAGGTACTTACACCATACTCAGGTAAGAATTAGAATGATGAGTCATTTTTTGTTACCATACAATGCATGACTCATCAGTAAAAGTATCTAACCAATGTTTTTGAATTGACTAAAATATGTCATATATGAATGACAATCAATTGAGTAATATTGGAAAATAGTATAATATAATCAAGAGTACTCTGTTTACGTGTAATCTATGTAAAGAATCAAAAGAAAAGGAATAATCTAGATGGTAGTGTCTCTAGTAACATAGAAAAGGTATTGAAAGTGGCGATGTGCAGTCAGGTGCGTACGACCAAGTGACTATGAGCACTCAATTAGGTATAATCAATTAATTAATAAATATTCAATGATATTATAGTCTTATACCTCTTTCATTATTAATATAAATAAAATATTTCAATTTAGATTTTGAGTGTGGATTCGTGGGCGCAACAGAGAATAATCACATCACACCGTCATCATTTTATATTCCTTTGAATTATTTAAATTGTTTGTGTAGAGATGTTCGAATATGCTACAAAGTCATACATGTATGCATAAAATTTTCTTTTTATATCACGTAGATTTGGATTTATTTTATACAATGAATCGTTTTCCGGTTGCTCTGTGTTACCACTACAGTGTAGGCATCATGATATAATTGTGTATCGATGGCATGAGAACTATTCATTGAAAATAGATGTCATTCTGAGTTTGTCAGTAGATCGGTCATCCGCTAGTCTATACTCGTCTTTTTTGTACGAACCGCATCAACATTGTTGTTGTCAAAAATAAATACATTTCTTCGGTTGTTACATCACATCAGGTAAGTATTCTTAACGACTGAGATGGTTTTTCTCCAACTTGATTATAGTACAACTTTGTCTGATCGGTAATGCTTTACCAAGTCTTCGTCAAAATATATTTTTAAAAAAAAGTTCATAGAAGTGTCGCCTTTCAATTTCCATGAGACTATCAAGGTATAGCCACTGTTGGTATGACTAAATGTCAATTTCTTTGGGCGAAAATTCACTGTAAAAACGAAGGTGTTGGCTACGAAGAATCTTCATCGGAAACATTATCAGAATCACTGATGTAATCAGTTGAATCTGTTTCAACTTCAGATCTTGATTCAGAGTTTGATGCAATTTCACCGACTTCCTCACCGAAAAACTCAATGCATTGTTGCTGCAATTTTCACAAAACAAATTTATCAAGTTCCGATTTACTATTGTGTATAATCACTGATAATTCACGATCCTGTGATATTAGACGAGTCACAAGAGACGCCGAATTTACAACTGAATTACTCATGAAAATGATTAATATATCCATAGTTTAGACAAGGAAAAATATGCTAGAATATATTCGAGTAAAATATATATGAAAAGGAAGAGAGTATAGGCGACAAAAGTAGATGTACTGAAGTCACTCGAATATAAAGAAAAAAACTGAAAGATTCGGCGTGCGTACTTTCCATACACTATACACAAACGACGAACGAGGACAAAAGATAACCCTATGTATAACAAACTGACTATTCCCTATATACGCTCCTTTTTTTAAGCATAACTCTAGAACATATCCATTGTGAAATAATGGTATTGCAAACAAAGCTAAAAAAACATCCACTACGATTGATTGAGTCAGTTCTCTACACTGATTAAGTTCAAGACATATATGTATGTTGGCGACAGCCGAAAGGTAAAATATAAAATGCTTTGTGATCTTTTGTTATTCTATAGTTTTTTTATTCCAATGAATAAAAGATTTTCGAAACTGTTTACTAATTGTTGATTTTATATTCATCTAAATACAAGTGTAATACTCAATAAAAAAACTACCTCAATATTATGGCCAATAGTCGATCTCGAACTAATAATAATAATAATGAGTATTTTTATAATAATATACAGGGTGGTAAATAATATTATTCAAGGAGGGTACCGCTATAATTTCAAATAGAAGATATGATGAATTTTATACCAAATGGAAGCCCATGAAAAATGGAGTTTATTGGTGCTAAATGACGAGGGTTATGAAAACCTTTTAATGCCGATCTTAATAAATTTTCAGAAATTTTATACTTTTTTGGGGGTGGAAAAGTAAGGTGCCAGTAATTCAAAAATGGAATAAAATGTTTTTCTTGGATATTTTTACATGGTTTGATAGAGCTTGTCGAGCTGTACAAAACCGTATATATGAAAAAATTTTCTGAGTCATTTTTTTGTGTTAAAAAATTCAAAAACTATTTGTAAAATCTTAAAAAAGTTTAAAAAAGTCATATTTTTGATATGGAAGAAAAACACCCGAATTTCCAATAAAATTAGCTTTTTTTTTGATTACTTTTACTATCTGTAGCGTTTCGAAATATACTCATTTCATGCAGCGTGAAAAACTGCATCGAATGAGTATATGTTCAAACATCTTACATAAGGATACTAATGGAAAACAGCTAAATTTAGTGTAAAAAATGACCGTTTTTTTCACTATAAAAAGTGAAAAAAATGTGGGTTTTTTGGTACGTTCTTTGGACAGTTTTCAGTGAATTTTAACCCAACACCTCTATTTAAAAATTTTTTCATACATACAGTTTTGTAGAGTTCGACAAGCTCTATCAAACCATGTAAAAATATCCAAGAAAAACATTTTATTCCATTTTTGAATTACTGGCACCTTACTTTTCCACCCCCAAAAAAGTATAAAATTTCTGAAAATTTATTAAGATCGGCATTAAAAGGTTTTCATAACCCTCGTCATTTAGTACCAATAAACCCCATTTTTCATGGGCCTATATTTGGTATAAAATTCATCATATCTTCTATTTGAAATTATAGCGGTACCCCCCTTGAATAATATTATTTATCACTCTGTACATTGAAATTTTTTCCTAAACGAGACTCATAATAACAAATTTCTTATTTAGAGATATTATTACTAGTCATTTATAATATCATTATTTGTCTTGTTCATTTAGATTCTAAAAACCAATGCTGACGTTAAATGAACACATGGTGAGATAGATTTGTTATTGCATTGACAATTTCTGGAGGTCATTGTCTTTAATCAATTCCTTCTTAAAACGAAAATTAAGAACGATGTTCAGCCTTCTTCCTTATTTAATCTGTATATTTAGATTTTGATCAGCACGAAAAACTTATATAGTATATGTTTCTTTTTCGATTTAGCAGACCTGCTCAAACTAAAAATATAATGAAATACTATTTATATTCTATGATAAAATCAGTTTCTTATATAATTTCTAATATAGGAGATAGCGCACAGCATATCTCCCATGACAAGTCTACACCTGGTTTCATTTCACAGTCAACAGTATCAAAATGAAAAGATTTTCATATTTAAATCAATTCTTTTCTACAAATTAAAGAAAGTATTTCATTTCACTATAGATATATCTTATCGCTGCAGGATACTATGTACGAACAAATTATTTAGTAAACATGTTCTCAATTAAACAAGTTACTTGAGAAGATGATAAAAAAAAATTATCATTGTTGACAACAAAATAACAAAACAAATAACTGATTTACATTGCAAATCAAGCATATTCCTTTTTTTTTTTTATCTTGTCACGTTCGTCAATAAAGTTTTTTTTTTTCTTTACGTATAAGCATTTTATCATTCGACATTCACGTTAACAAACAGAAGTGATAGAACGAAACAAAAATTCAAAAACATGAAGGTGCACATGTGAGTAAAAATACGCTTGTTACAATAATATTTTTTTCCAGTTTCGGTATGTCGTCTATTACGATGAAATTTGATTGTGAAATAGCAAATGAATTTGATGACTTCCTGTTGTCGACTGTTCGTCAAGGAGATATTAACTTATTGGAAAGTCATTTATCAACGGTGGCAAACCCTAATTTATACTTGAATCGATTATACGATGAGATAAATTTGCAAAAATGCACTCTTCTAATGCTTGCATGTTTAAAAGGACACATAGATGTGATACGTATGCTACTTCATCGTTACAAACCTGATCTTGAAGTACTAAATAATATTGTCTTCGGAGATGTAAATTCAAGTCGACAAACATTTTTCAATGTTTCGGTGCTATGGGTAGCGACATCGGTCAACAATTTTGATATAGTAAAATTACTAGTCGAACATGGCGCTAATGTAAACCATCGAACTAAAACAAATTCAACACCACTGCGCGGTGCTTGTTACAATGGTAATGTGGAAATGGCTCGTTATTTGATTGAACATGGTGCTGATGCACATCTTGCCAAAGAAAACAATGATACAAATCTAATGGTCAGTGTATGTCATAAGCATTTAAATATGGTTACTTATCTTGTGGATGAGTTGCATTGTGACATAAATGAATGTGATATTAATGGTCGTTCGGCACTTTATGATGCTGTCACTTGTGGATCGGTTGAAATAACTGAGTTTCTACTCAAACATGGAGCTCGCAACTTTCGGGCTGTTGTCGATCAAATGTCTCCGTTAATGTGGGCAGCAGAAAGAAGGCGTTCAGATCTTGTAGATGTTATTTCTCCTTACTGTTCACTACTTGAAAGGATAGAAGCTCAAGAACTACTTGCTAGTGCTTTTATCTGTGGTAGTCGTGATGATCATGCTCCTGATAAATCGTTTAAACATTTTTGCCAAGCGTTTGAGCTAAGAACGATTCATAATCTTTCGAAAGCTACGAAGTCAACTAACAATGCAATTTTTGATAATCGGCATGAGTGTCAAACAACTGAGCAACTCAAAGAAATACATTCGAATACAGATCTGTTGTATATCGAAGCTTTGCTAGTACGTGAACGATTGCTCGGTTTCACTAATGGAGAATACCGTTACTCACTATGTTACCGTGGTGCTATGCTAGCTGACAAAGGACAGTATGATAAAGCCGTTGCTTATTGGATATATGAATTTAATTTGTGTCAACAATATTCAATTCCAATTGATTCAAAACATTTGCGCCGTTTTGCATCACTTTTTAGTGGCATGTTATATAAGATAAAATCTATACCCATGGAAGCTTTGTCTAAAATAATAAAAGCAACAATGGAGGAACTCGAACATGGCGAGCAAAATTTCAATGACAACCTAACTACCTTACTGTTTCTGATAACAATTGTGGGAGAGGTAAAAATTTGTTTATATATAGATGTTCTTTATATTATTTCAACAGCGTCTTCTCTAGTTTTTAGTAAACAACATTGTTTCTAAAACAGATTGCAAAGTATTCTTTGTTCTTCTTCATTCTATTTGTTCCCGTAATTATACTAAATTAGACTCCGGAATGTCTTTATTACATCTCGCCTTGGATACTCATACACGGGTAGATGATTATCATATTAAACGTATCTGCAAGTGCGTTGTACATGATAGAAAACATTGAATTATATGTTTTATTGCAGATATCCGTGTTTGCAAACAACTCGCATTCTTTTACAAAGCGGTGCTTCTGTAAATACATTCGATGCCATACGAAATACACCGTTACATATAATTGCTTCTAGTAGATCTGCAAATCATGATTCTATACTGAATCTTCTTTGTGATGCTGGTGCTCATTTAGATTTTGCTAATACATTTGGAGAAACACCAATCGATTTAGCTACAATGCCGAATATCCAGCAACAACTGAAAAGTAGAATGAAACTTAGCTTAAAGTGTCTATGTGCGCAGTTGATTCGAAAAAGAAACGTATCATTTCGTGACAAAGTTGCTATTCCACTTATTAACTTTGTTGAAAAACATTGATTATTAAAGACTAGAAATAATATTTTCATCATATCAAGTAATATTATGTACTTCTTAGAGAAACATAACCTGAAAAATCATAAAGATTGATTGAGAAGAACTCGACTTATGGAAATTTTATATATAAGAATATAACGGTTCAATAGTTTTGCAATTCACTCATATATTGTAAACCGTTCGATTCAATAAATACTAAAAAAAATTGAGATTTTTATAATTCTTTAATGATTTTTCTAATAATTCAGACATATTTTTATATGATAGAAAAAGGTTTATAGTACAATAAAAAATTAATTTTTATATATGTCCATTATAATTATTCAAAATCACATTGCATCTTCTGAGAAAACAATAAGCATGCATTCCAAATTAAAACTTATGTCTGAAAATAATATAACGCTAGTGTTTAGAGGGCTTCGAACTTTTGTATTGGATAATTATTTGAATCTTTTACATACAAGATGCGTTAATTGTTGAATGTCAGCGAAACGGTGCATTTATGATCGTTGCGTTCACAATATTGATGCTTGTATCATTAAAAACAGTTTTATCCTCCGACTAATTAATAGAAAAAAGTGTTTATGATAATATAACCTATTAGCCACATAAACATGTTCCATTGGAACTAATACTACACTGAGAGAGTTCTTCGTCAATGTTGATGTATTACTAAGTTTTATTTAAGAAAAAAAAAAACTTTTGAACGTCTGCAGCCAAAGGAAAAGCTTTGTTTGAATTTCAGATGCTATATAAAGAGCTTATTTAAAAGAATACGACATCTAACAATTAGTCGCTTTATGTGATAAAGTATATATATATTAGACAAGGCTTAGGAATTTTTTTCAAAGATTTAAAATGCGGAAATTCGTTATGACTGTATCATTCTTCAACAATGCTGACGGATTTTAGTCTCAGTTCCTACCAGCTAATGTTAAATGTAGCTTTAAAAATTATGAAATTAAAGTGAAATATGCGTCAACTATTAATAACTTTGGTAAGATCGTCGAATAAAAATGAAAGACATCTCAGAATTGCATTTTGAAACAGTTTCACGTAGTGAAAATTAGAAAAAAAACTACTACTGTGCAAGATTTACTTCTACTGGAGCATTCAAAATTATTCTGCCGATGTGTTTCTTTTTCTCGAATGGTCAGAACTTCGATAGATTTCCTCACGCTGAGTACTCGATACTGGAACAGAACGAACAAAAAATATATATTTCAGATTTTCGACCGATCGTTATGCCCATTGTCAGGTTTTCGAAGTCTTCTTTGGCAATTTACAATAAGAATGCTTTTAATTAAACTCAAACAAAGGCACACCTATCAATGCTTTGATTTTAACGAAAGTCTTGAATGGTAGCGGCACATTAAATATACTGTCTATTAACAAAGTAAGGAAGTGTGTAAAGAGAACGTTCATTTTCTTGTTAAGATATTTGTTAATGAAAAATAAGTTTCTCACATCACTTGATCACAAAAATGTTGAATTGGCAGATAAAAATGCAAAACGTATCGCTGCAGTGATCAAAATAAATAAAACATTAATATTATTTTTATCCTCGTGAAAATTAAATAAGTGATGAAGAAGTTCGAAATTGCTTCATAGGATGCGAAAACTATAACAAAACTATAGCTCAAATGATTTAATACAATCAATTTCCTAAGGTATTCGACATGTTCAATTGTAATTTGTTTCAACAAGAAAAAGAAACATTTAAACAGGCACTGCAATCAAACAAAACCTTTGAAATATAAGTAAACTATTATTCAGAATAGTAAATACAGAAGTAACGAAGAGTTAAAAACGAAGGAAATCTTCTTTTCACATCAAATTGAACGAATCTATTGTTTTAATTATTGATACAAATATATAAATAGATACTTCTTTTAATGAATAAGTCAAATGTTGTTGCTTCTGCAATAAAAGGTATCTGTCGTCAACAACAACAGTTCTCATGACTACTTTGTATCCTACAAATATCGGATTAAACGTATCAATACGACAATATACCATTTGAAATCAGCTTGAGAACTTTATTTTATCAGCAATTTTCACTGTGATATATTTTTGAGAAAACAAGCAGATCAAGCATAAGAAATAATTATAGTATACTTTCAATCGAATTACATCGAGAATGGTACACATTTTTGTTTTCTGCACTCATATAATACTGATGTCAAAACCGTGTATGGTTTCTCTTTGATAACAACGTCAATGATATTGATATGACACATTTTTGATTACGTGGACAGAGAACATATTAAAATTGACACGTGTGTCAATAATTTTTCTTATAAATATTCTGCATATCTTATGCGTTTATCTAATAATTACTATGACCCAATTAGAAAAAATTAGGATTCGAAAAGCTGTGTTAAGTGATCTGCCGAGGATGTTACAAATAATGGATGAAGCTTTGGAAACTCCAACTATTGATGATGAAATGGAACAACGATTAGAACGTTGGTTAGTCAAATTTAATAATAATTTACAGTTCATATTTTATGTAGCTGAAGTTGATCATGGTTATTTAGTTGGCTGGTGTCGTGGTGGACAAGCAATTGAATCTCATAAAATAGTTGATCATGAAACGTATGATTGTGAAATACATAATATATTTCTTTGTAAACAATATCAACATCGTGGTATTGGTTATGAATTATGGAAAATTGTATGGAATGATATTCTTGTATCGTTTCAGCCAAAGAATTTCATTGTTTGGTCAGTCGATAAACAGCAAACACATCAATTTTATTCATCACTTGGAGGCGTACCGAAAGAAAAGAGAAAATTTGATGAAGAGTGTACTTTAACGGCATTCGTTTGGCATGATCTGAGATTGTACGAGACTACTAATTTTCTTATATTGAAATAAAAACAAATTAGTTCTTTCAATTGATAGAACTAATTCAATTTAAAAACCTATTATACTCTTCATGTTACTAAATTATCCATGACATGTGGTCTGCAACTGCAGTCATCTACTGTTGAATCTTGAGGCATTGTCGCCATCAAAACTAATCTGCAAGTATGAATTCGATTGTCATAATGCTAGCTTAGGCAAATATTAAGCACTGTTTGTGTGATATGTGCTTGTTGATGAAGGTCTAGCAGACACAGGATAAAGTATCAAGAAGACGATATAGAACTAAGGAAAATAATGATTGATGAAAAGTATAAAATTATTGGCATATTCAATCTCAAGTGCTGATGCTTGTTTTTCTTATTTTCAAGTTATTTCACACAGAATGTTTTATATTATCAATGTATTTGTTTATCTCCATTCATTCTATTCTAGAGAAAGAGGTTATTTTACCAATAGTTCTATAATTCTTAAATATCGTGAGGTGACGCGAAGAATTATTCGCGCAATGATGATAGACTCTATTACTCCGAGTCTACATCTATTATATCTTCAGAATCACACAAATGGAATCTATTTGAAGCTGAAAATGATACTGTAACTACTCCCTTTAAAGTTGCGTGTCGCAGTTTCGAATAATAGTAACTATGAACAGTATTCTAGCTTCACCTATCGTAATGAATTGTGTGTTAAAATGAATGGAAAGAAAAACTTAAATGTATAAACACAGTGCCTATTAGCTTTTGAAAATGGTCACAGTGATGTATTGATCGCTCGGTTTCGAAAATCTCACTGATCGAGCTATGAAACAAACAAGATATCACAACGGAAGAGATCTAATAGATCAGTTCTACATGATATACTTTAGTTATGTTTCATTACTTTTCTTTATCAACAAAAATATTTAACGTTAATACTTTCTCGTCCCAATTGCATCAGAATTTGTCTCAAAAGAGAAAATGCTTGTACTCTTGATGATACTGATCTCTTTTGCTTTACTATAATCCATCATTTCTGCCTCCCCATATCATGTAGCAAAGATACCACGATTAGTATGTATACGTTCAAAAAGAAAAGGAATGTTGAAACGTAAACGACAGATATTCTTGGTATAGAGCAGATGCATAGATTATGATAAAAATCCCAAGAATTTTGTACTCCTGCACGTAAAGACCATACTATTTCGGTCTTATTCGAATTCTATAAAAGATCGAGGTCATGTGAGACTGATCGACTTCCAAAGTGTTTTTCTATGTTCTTTTATCACGTACTCCATGATAGAAAAAATGCAGACGTTGCTGTTCAGTTCTTGTGAAGTGGTTTGTGCAGCAATCAAAAGCCACTAGAATTTAAACAGAAGAAAGAAGTATCAACGTAAAGCTATATCTAATCATTACTTTTATTATTCTATGGGATGATTGTAGCAATATGTGTAATGATCAATGGAAGAGATGGAATAAATTCATAGCAGCAAACGATTACTATTGAAACACGACATAACAGGAATGTTGAATTACAGAGGTGGAAATTTACACTTCTCTTCGAGACCTTAACTCATTTCTAAGCAATGTTCACTCTTTCCCATAGACACCTTAACAATGTTTTATTACCGTCACTACCATCACAGACATAGGCATAAAAATTAAAGTTCGCTCGAGGATCATCACGAAATACGATTCAATTTAAGATAGCTGTTTTTTTTTGTTCGACAATCAAAATATCTGTTTGTAAGCACTTCCATTAGCCGTTTGACTGCTAACATTGTGTTTCATATTTCAATCCAGCAAGGCTTGCAGAAAAAGCTTTTATTTTTGTTATTACTGTTCGTAATTATTATTATTTGAACAATATCAGATCATTTTTAATCACATTTCATCAAGTTTTGTGAAAAAATTTATGAGAAGATCATGGGTGAGATAGGTATTTTATATATGTTCTCAATAACACTTTTATGTCTTGTTTATTCACTAACTATAGCAAAATTCCGAACCGATTCTAAAATTAAAATTATTAATAAGTGCTTGTACTTGCTTTATTCGAATAAAATTTTGTGTTGAATCAAATCCATAGAAGAAGAGTGCTTTGCACTCTTGTTTAGATTCCTGAGACATGAATAGAGTTAGCCTATCGACTTGAAACTTTAATTGAAATACTTGAATGCTCGCTCGAACGCTTTTATTATTTTGATTGAGTTGTTTAGTTATCTTAAAGAACAAATAATTTGATCTTAATTGACAAGACATGTCATTGATGAATCAAAACAGCTAAAATAAATAGTAAACTGCCATTCTTTCATTCATTTTTAGATTTGTTCAGGCATTTGAATCTGTCTCATGCAGACTTTCGAGAAAAAACATTTCCAGGATAATTGGAATTACAACACCGAGCTGTTATTACTAAAAATACTTGAAAAGAGAAAACAAGAATTTCTATGTGAGGAAAGGAGCCATGAATGACATACTCAAGCTAATAACAAATTCCACAATAGCAGTGAATAATAACGTTTGCATCTTGAACTTAAATATTCAGTATAAGTTGCAGATATAAAAAAAAGTAGTTCACAAATATTTTATTCAAAAAATTTCTGTATAATCATGGTTGCTTCATCATCTCTTAAAACACAAATTATTCTTTATGATCCACGACGAATTAGATACTCAATTATTTTAGTTACATTTTTTCCTCAACGTGTGTTTCATGTATTAATGAAACCAATGAACGTGACGACTATAATTAAAGTGAATCAATGCAAAAAAAAACAGTCACTTTCAATTAGAAACTGTCTGATTCCATTTAATATCTTCTACAGAAAAAAAACATAATTCTGAATCAGATTCCCAGATTTATGTTTCTCTATTTGCTTGAGAGCAACTGTTACATATGCGCACTTTTCCTATCGTTTGATATTCTTATTAACCATAAAAAATATCTTATATACAGGTACTCCAAAAAGTATCCGGACACCCACATGTTTTTTTTGTACTTCTTGGTTCGCGAAGCAGAAACAAGAGATAAAATGTTTCTTTCTTCATTGAAATATTATGTCAACAGATAGTGCTTGCTTTGCTCGTTCTAGTGGTGTGCAAATAATATAATTCTGATGTGAGAAAAGAGAGCGCCTAACATATTGGAAAATCGGACATTTTCATGGAAAACGTTCTCGTAATTCGAGATGGTAGTTAAAATTGCTGATTTTTATAGAGAAGCTAGTTCGAAGTAAGAACCATCCACTGGTGAAATAAGAAAAAGTTTATCTCTTGTTTCTGTTTCGCAAACAAGAGATACGGAAAAACATGGGGGTGTCCGGATACTTTTTGGAGTACCTGTATAATAAATATTTTAAATTCATCATATAGGACTTTCATTTTTTTTTAGTTTATCAGTAAACATGGTATGGAACAATATTGGAGATAGTATTGATGTTACACAAGTATCAAAATCGATTGTTGACGATCTTAATCTTGTTTCAGAAAGATTTATCATCTATCTTCCACTTATCTTTCTTATCTTTGGCTTTATTGGATTCATTGGAAATATTTTTACTTATCATCTTCAAGCTGAACTTCGTTCCAATACTTGTTGTATTTATTCACTTTGTGGTTCAATCATTGATATTATGAATCTTTCTCTCAATTCATTTCCAATGTATCTCGCTGCCAAATATAAAATTTATATACCATGGTATATATCAAGTATAACATGTAAACTTGATGTTTTTCTTCTTGTATTTCTTCCTCATTTATCAATTCATTTTTTGATTATGGCTATTATTGATCGATTTGCTTGTACTTGTAAACTTACATCACCATTACGTCGACTCAATCAACTAAAAATGGTACCATGGATAATCACAATTACAATTATTTTAAGTTGTCTTGCTTCGATTTATTCACCAATTCTCTATGATCTTGTGAATAAATATTCGTGTATATCTACAGAACCACAATTGAATAGTATATTGTATATTACACTCAGTGGTGTCATGCAACCAGTAATAATGTTAATATTTGTTTTACTTACTTATCAAAATGTACATCAATGTCATCGACGAGTAGTATGTATATTAATTCTCTTGTTGTCTTTTGTGATATAGAAAATTGTAATGTATATTGTATGGAAGAGTAACAGTAACACAACGAAAAAGTCTATAAAATCAGTTCATTGTAATGGTATTTGCTCAAGTTTTTGTGACAGCTTTTTTATCATTACAATGGATTATTGTGTATACATATTTTTTATTTACTGCAGACTATAAGAGAAGTTATAAACAATGGTCAATTCTTTTTTTTGTCTTCTCTCTAACGAACAATTGTTGTTATATAAATAATGTTAAATCATTTTATCTTTCACTATTAACATCTCATTTATTTCGTAAAACACTTATAAAAGGTTTAATTGAAATATTACCTCGACATTTACGTTCACAATATCAAGTATCACAAATTCAACCTTCGATGGCTACTATTACTAGAATAAGACCACGTGATATATCCAAACGTTGAACTATCTAAAATATGATTAAAACAATTTGAAAAACTCTTTTTTGTCGTTAAACGTTGTTCGTTTGTTTTTGATAATATCTAAATTAAATAATCATGATTTATCTGTTGGAATATTGTAAATGAATATTGTACTTAATGTTGTTGTTCGTGCTTTTAAATAAATATTTATTTCTGTTTATCAATAATCACTATACAGTTGTCGCAAAATGTATTTCATTAAAATTTCAAGTGAAATAGTCATACACTCCTACAATGCGATCTATTAATAAACGGAAAGGGGAGATTTATAATGAAATGAATCCTTTTTAATGAAGCATTTTGTTAATATACATTATTCAAAATCTGCCTATGTTAAATAATATTCTTTAGTTCTGTAATCTAAAAATTGCAATCGTTGGTAATAAGCTATCCTAGAAAGCATTAAAAAAGGGCTTTTGTCGTTGTAACAAAACTCGCGGTCTATTGTACCTACTCTTCAATTAAAGATTATATGTGAGGATGAAAAAAGAAACATTTTAATAGAAACTGAGTAATTATAATGATTCGTCATAGTACTTAAATGGAAATATCGAAAGCTTCTTTCTCTGGACTTAAAGACTCGATATAAAACTGTAATTATAAAAGTCGAACGATGCTTTAACATAGAAACAGAAGGTCTAATTATTTTGCTTTTAAACAGCGTTATGCGAATTTTTTTTGTCTACGAAAGATAGTTTATTTTATAAATAATTTACTAAACTGTCTACTAAAATACTAACTGATTCGAAAATGACACAGCATTGAAGAAGTTACATTAATATCATGTTAATTGAATTTTGAAATCATATTCGATAATTATGGTTTTCTGCATCAGGGTTGTGATGAAAGTTCTAGAGAATAGTCGGCAAGATCTCTCCCAATGTAATCAAATCAGAATTCGGTTCATTTTTGTTCACGTATAAATATTCCAAGTGCAAAAACACTGTATCTTCAGCTATCTAGAATTGTCTCCAGATCGCCATGATTGGAGGAGGGTTGATGACTTAATAGGTTAATTGAAACATTTTTCCTAAAGCTGACCGGGTTTTTCCGGAATTGATGAGAAAAAAACAGTAGGATGCTCGAACTCGGTTGATCCTTGTGTCCAGTTAGATCTTCCCTGCAATTATATAAAACTAAACTAATGTTATTTTTATGGTAAAACATATTGATAAAATAGTATCTTATTGCATTTATGAATAGGATATTCTTGCGATTGAAAAAGGCAAACAAAGTCCGTCCTATAAGACACAGAGAAGGTTTTTCTTGAAGCAGGATTTTCACTATGATATACGAAAGAAAATAAAATTCATTACTTTTGTTTTTTATTGTCATCATTTACCATGATAACAAACAGAAAATGGCAATAAGAACGTTATAATGCATGAGATTAGCGTTTTTTTCATCTTACAATATGGAAAAACAGATTTTTTCAGTTCGCAGTTTAGCCATTTACTTTGCGGCGATGCATAAATGCGTTCGAATATATTTATCAAAATAAAGGCGTCAGTAATATATCTTTTAACCGTTTAGAAAAGCCTCTTATCGTTTGTTAGGTAGTATCATACGAGTATGTTTCCTCTTTCTTTTCTTTCTGCTTGATATTTTTACCCATGTACATTCTAGTGTGTTCCAGTACAATCATTTTCGGGTGAGTATAGGTGTGAGATCTGAGGGTAGACAATGCTTTGCCGGATTATCTTGTTGCCACCTATAGAACTACAAATTCCAATGATTTCTTGTCTCATATACATATATAGATTATTGGATTTTCTCTATGCTTGCTTATGTAACTGATAAGCTAATATATGGATCATATCCATAATTAATAGATTTGCTTGTTCATTCATTCTGGCATCAAAAATTCATCGTCTCTATAAATTGAACACACTACCAGAAATAAATAATTTTTCAATTATGACTAATTTTCTTGCTTTAATTAAGAAGTCTATTATAATCTGTCTTAAACTGAACCTAATATGTACATTTTTCGAGGCAATAGGTTTTTTGTTTAGGGAACTTATTTAATGAATGGATTGCTACTACCAGTAGTGACAATGATATTTATTTTTCTTACTGATTGTAATGTTCTTTTGATTCATTGATAAGTAGCAAATGTGTTGATTTTGTATTACTTTCGATAACAACTTCATTGAAATGATTCCGGATGTTACTATATAAAAGTTGAGATTTGTTGCTCGATAGAGAGCACACCACCGATCATTCATCTCGATGGGATGATATGACAATGATTATTTATCATGAATGTAATTATAAGTAGAAAAACGAACAATTTTTTTAGGTTTCCAAATTAATTCATTCAGGTCAACCATATTGATCAGCCTCCTTGCTTTAACATTCTTATCAGCAAAGTTTTTTCCAACAAAAAGCGTCAAGAAAAAAAGTTTGCTTTCTATCAGTCATTATCTTTTTATATTCTTCACTTCTGCCACGCAATTCTATTTACCTTTCGAGATTTGTCGCCAGTATACTTCTTTGTGTTATCTAGAACAATAACTGATTGTAAGAATTTACGAATTGGTAAAGAATTTCTCAGTTGCCAGAATTAGCCTGTCGTATTGCGAAAGGCAACCAATGATCGATGCTATTGTATTCAGTGTTATTTGCCTGAGAACTCGGACTCGTATTTTGTTGGTGGCTACACTTATGTGATTTCACGTGACTAGACTCGCTTTGGTGTATATATTGTTGAGCCATTTGCTGCACATCACAAGATATGAAAAACATGGGCTAATTGCAATCATGGAATGAGTATTGAAAATGCAAAATCAATAATTGAGCATCGAAATTACTTCTGCCTCCTGATACAACACTGGATGGTAAAAACTGCAAATACGAAAAGGTCAAATTTCGGAAGAGTACTACTTCTTCACTATGCCAACAATAAAACATGCTGTCCTTGATTGTTAGGTACATATATACACCTTCATATTTCCAACGAACAGCAAACGATACAAGATCAAAGTCGCGCTTCAGTGCAAGGAAAAACCTGATTAATTGATAGTTCAAGCTGAAACGGTGGGAGCACGCGAGTGACAACAAATAATACGCCCTCATGTATCAAACGATCGAATGAAGTGGAAGACACAACAGCGCTCTGCTATTATGCCATATGGGCTGATGCTTCACATTAAGAAGGATGATAGCCATGAGTATGATGAAAACACAAGTTCTCAGGAGATCAATTGCCCCAACTGTTTACGACCGAACGTGTGGAAAACTGGAGGCTACATAGAAGGCAAAGTTATTACTTGGGTGTATGAAAACTGCAAGAAAAAGTTTCAACAACTCAACTGTCCTCATTGCTCTGGTTCTATTGTATGAAAAGACGCTAACTATAAAGAAAGAATAGTTACTACTTGTTCGTATGAGAATTGTAAGAAAAATTTCAGCAGTTCAATTGTCCTCATTGTTCTGGTCCTGTTTGTGGAAAGACGCTAATTATAAAGAAGGCCAAGTTACTACTTTGTTCATATGAAAGTTGCAGGAAAACGTTTCAACAGTGCATCTGTTCCAAGGAGAGAGGAGCGAAAATACCGTACTTCCTGTACTTCCAGACTATGTCCTACCTGTGCATCAAATTTCTTTAGCTATTTCAAGTCTACTATTTTCGTGTAGTACGATATATTAACCGGAGTCCAGTCTACGTAAGTCTATCTAACAAAAACGCCCAAATACTTCATAATACTTCCAATTTGGAGGTATCATGCAGTATCTGGGCTTTAGGATGGAGTTGCCTTTAGTAAGCTGAACTCCGATTAATACACCGTAGCACGGGTCAATAGTAGACTTGAAATAGCTACAGATATTTGATGCACAGTTACGACATAGTCTGAAAGTACAGGAAGTACGAGGAAGTAGGGCATTTTCGCTCCTTCCCCCTTGATCTGTCGTCATTGTTTCTGTTCGATTGTGTGGAAAGATGCAGACTACAAACATAGAGTTATTACCACATGTCCTTATAATAATTGCCAGAAAACATTCTGTAAAGACTAGTTAAAAAAAACTCGATGAGCTCAAGCGAAGATCATTGTATCTTATGTGATTTAGAATAAAACTAATAGACATAAGCCCTGAAATTGCTGTGGATGAAGTAGCGGGAATCTATGATATTACACTTGAAACATAGAGTGTTATTGAAGGAAGTTTCGGAGGAAATAACTATAAGCATTGCCATCGTAACTTTCTCATGTGATTATTTGCACTAAATAAATACAGTTTCCCAGCCAGTAATCTGAAGAAATGTATAGGTTAGTTATTTGCGAAACATAGCTTTTACAAGAACTTAATGCTTTCATGAAAAGGCTTTTAGTGAAACAATTCTATGTTTTTTGTTGACGTTAAAAGACACACTACTTTTTTTTTATAATTGTGTAATTTTCGTATTTGTTTTTAATGTAATAAAATCCTGAAAAATCTTCCAGCCAAAAAAACTGTATCCGCAATAAATTACTGCGATTGCAATGTATTGGAAATAAAAAAACGTCTGTGACAATCGGTACGGCGTTGAATAGACTACGTTTTGAGCTGCCTTCTTTTCTACCATGCCATATAAAATAGCACAAATGATTCCTTTCACCATCTTTGGGTAATATCTAAACAATAGAAGATCATAAAATGACTTTTGAAGTTAAGTTCAATTTTAAATACTTAATTTCAAGATGAAACGTAACGAAAAGTTAGAAAAATTGAATATCAAGTACATTTCAAGTGTTCATTTGTCAAAAATGAACGATTGATTTAACAATTTTTTCTCCATTATCGAGTAAGATGACTGCCCTAGGCGAACTTTCTTTTTCATGCACTTGACCTGCGCAGACCTCAAGTTTTGTCCATAGCGCATGACTTTCTTGATCAAGATTCTCAAGTATCTCCTGCGCAGACCAAAATAAGTTCGTCTGGGGTGATAAAATAAAATGAATCGCTTATTTAAAAAAGAAGTACCGATCGGAAAAATAAAACAAACATTCATATACAAGTATGTGGAATATGTTGAATCCTACTCAAATTATATTGTTTTTATTCTTCAAATAGCCTACTATACATAGAATTAAAATATTAGAGACGAGACATTTTGTATTTGTAGCTTCTTATTCTAGTTTATTGGAGACAAGTAGAAGAAACTAAAAACAAAAATTTCAATGTTTTTCATCACCATCTGTTCATATCGTTATACATTTCATTGTTATACCATTTGGAATAAGTAGATCATTAGATGCTATCCATCGATTCGATAGATCGAGCATAAGTTGTTTGTTAAATTTGAATTTTACTGGACGATATTCGTGGAAAATTCTCTTTTAAAACAATTAACATCATAAATTGATTGAAAGTATGTCAGAATACCAAAATAACATACTCTTTATCAAAAATATCAGAATCTTCAGCAATTTACAATCCATGTTTATCGAGAGTAAAGCAACCTACTATGGACATTTCTTCTATACGATGATCATTTGCACATCTCATACGATTTCGATGAGAAATAAAACGATATATACATTCAACTTGATCAATCGATTTTGTAGTACAATAACATAAAGCTCTATGAATAAGCCGAAAACGTTCACAGTCACTTGTAGATGCAATATTTTATTATTTTTAAAATAAAAATTACGTATTATGCAAAATATAATAAATATGTGATAAGACGATAATTCATAAGACTTGAACAGGTGAATTCGATATATTAAATCGAATTCGTAATAATTTGACCCACAAAACATTTATTATTATTATTATTATTACTATCATATTGTATTTTGAAAATGATGAGAGTGTAAATGTGAAGATTGCCTTTGTTGTATTTGCATTTTTATTTGTTATCGGCATTAAGAACATTGTCGGTTATGTTGTCATTTTCGAAAAGCGAGAGCGAACATTTTTTTAATGTTATTTAAAAAACAGTGAAAAAAATTCTTCTAAACTTTCTAAGACATATGAATGGATTTCTACTACTATTTTCATTCTAAAATAGAATAAGTGAAAAATAACTGTAATTCTTCAATTGAAATACATCGTTGGAGTTTAGATGTTGTTGATGGATGATGTCATGGTATGATCGAAATATTCAAAGTTTTATTCATTGTTGCTTGATTACTAAGAAATGACTGTAACAATTTTGTCTTCAACTAAAATCTTTTCTTCATTGTTTGCGGAATTATTTTTATTATTGTCATATATGAAATCAACGTTACCAATATATGAAGATAAAAACTGACCTTTTGTAAATGACACTATGCGAAAAGGTAACATCCCTTCATTCATTCGAAAAAGATTAACCATACTACACATTCAATGCCGATCGACAACATTGATGTTAATGATAAGGTGTCAGACGAGAAAAAGACATGGTGGAAAAAACATGGTCTCATAATATTGATTATATCAGTATTAGTTGTGACTGTCATTATATTTCTAATCTTATTTATCACCAAGAAAAATATGATATCAAGTGAAGAAAAAACAAAAAATAATGATGAAAGCGAAAAAGTTTAATTTTTTTTTATTCTAGTTCCTGTACCCTTATCACCTTCATTATCGAGTGTTCACTGTCCTGTTTCATGTTCAATTTATTCACATATTTCTCCCGTGGATCTTCTAACTGTTAGTATTTCTTCTCTCACGCGAGACTTGTCAAACTGTCGTTACTCATCAACGGATCTTGTTCGATGGTATTTGATGCGCATTGATGCAGTCAATCGACGTGGCTCTTATCCACTTTATGCTGTCATAGAAACTAATCCCGATGCTTTGATGATCGCTAATACACTCGATCAAGAGCGACAAAGTACAGGTCCAAGGTCTTTTCTTCATGGGATTCCAATTTTGGTCAAAGATAATGTAGCAACTAATGATAAAATGCAAACAACTGCTGGCAGTCTGGCTTTGATTGGAGCTCGTGTTAATCGAGATGCTCACGTTGTTTATCGTTTGAGACAAGCAGGTGCCATTATCCTTGGCAAAACATCACTTTCAGAATGGTCCAATTTCAGAGCATTAAATAAATCACGAGAAGGATGGTCACCACGTGGTGGGCCAGTCAAGTAACTTTTTCACTGATCAATCACAGTTTATATCATGTAGTTCTATAGTTCGGCTTATGTAGCCAATGGCAATCCTTCAGGTAGTAGCAGTGGCTCGGCCGTGTCTGTTAGTGCCGGATTTTGCGCGGCTGCAGTCGGCACAGAAACGGCTGGTAGTATTGTGTCGCCATCTAGTGTAGCGAACATAGTGGGTCTCAAACCAACGGTAGGATTAACATCTCGTTCCGGTGTTATTCCCATCTCACGTTTTCATGATTCGATTGGACCAATGGGGAAAACGGTGGAAGATGTAGCATTGATGCTAGGTAAAGTATTTCAAAAGAAAAATAATTTCGAGAGAAAATCTTCATTTAACTTGTAGAGGTTATGCAGGGTGTTGATTCGCGTGACGAAGCCACACAAAAATCAGATGCTATTCGTCATGAAAATTATTCCCAATTTTTACATGGTGTCGAAGGATTACGTGGCCTTCGGTTAGGTATTGTGAGTCAGGGTGAGTCGAGCATGTAGCAAGCATAAATTTCAAAAAATGTCAAAAAATTCGATTCAGGTATTAACATGACGAAAGAATTAGAAGCTGCCGTGAACAACGCAAGTGCTTTGATGCGTTCACATGGAGCGATAATCATCGATTCTGTAAATTTTACAGACATCAATGATCATAACTTGTTTGATGATTTGTGGTCGCTCTTGTTGATTACTTTTCCCGAAGATATTGCAAATTATTTGATGGCATTGAACAATACAACGATACGATCTTTAACCGATCTAATTGAATTCAATCGTAATCATACGGATGAAGAATTTCATCCTCTGTTTGCTCCTAATCAAGATGTATTTGAATGGAGCAATAATGTCACTAAGTTATTACATATGAATCAATCAAGTCTTCTTAATAAAACTCGACTATGGGGAGGACAATTGTGTATTGATGCTATGTAAATCAACCTCTTTGACTTAATTTCTTTAATTTATCTTTTTTACTTTCAGGTTAATCAAACACAACTTGGATGCCCTCATAACACCAGATGTTTTCAGTCCATTGACTATTATGGCATCGGCAGCTGGCTATCCATTGATTACTGTTCCATTAGGTTATCATCAATCCAACGGGGAACCCTATGGTCTGATGATAGCCGGTACGGCTTGGTCAGAAGCAATGCTTTTACGAGTTGCACATGGCTTTGAACAAGCATCACATATTCGAGATCAGCGACGACCAATGTATGCTGAACGTGACTGAATTTATTTGGCAAATAACTTGATTGTTCGATTTCGTTTCGTCTTATCTTTTTTTAGTGAAGATAATAGGAATGAAAAAGAATGAAAAAACGAAAGAAATATAAAAATGAAAGCCAACAGAGATAATACAATGTATTCTTCGAGAGAATCAACTGAATCTGAGCTTAATGCGACTTAATGTGTAAAAGTTAAAAATTGATTAACTGATTTGACATCGATCATCCACCTTTCGTTATTTTGAACTGTTCACAGTTTTCAGTATTGTGAAAATTAGAAAAAAAATGAAAATAAGATATTTGTGGGTTTGAATAATGCAGATATAGACTATACTTTGATGCATAACCAATCAAATCAAACAAGAACTTTTTTTTTTGCCTTTTTCTAAATTCTCGAGAGAAGGCAAGTGACGAACAACAATTAGAGTGCGAGTATAAAATTGATAAGATTGCCTGAGTGTCACTGATAGTGATATAGTTCGTGATTGTCTTCAAGTGCTCGTATTGCACGAAAAACATTTAATTAAGCAGCACAAAAGGTGTAAATTTCTTATAAATTTCGGTTAGAGCTATATGACTTTTATGACATATCGCTTTTCAGAGCTTTACCAGTTAGTAACTGTAACTGTACTTAGTTCTTTCCTGATATCGAGTTCTGTGATTTTGTTATCTATTGTGATTTCGAGATGGAAAACTGCTTTAGGATACCGTGCAACATGGCGTGATTACAACAAGTATTAGAAAGTTAGATTATTGTTAGTTATGGTCTATTTGGTAGTCATGATACTCTTACATTAGTTTTATGAGACATTTTACAGTCACAAAAAAATATTAGTCTAAATTTAATCTTACAAAAAAGAAATCTCGTTTTGGAAATAGGCGAAAAAGAAGCAATGATAAAGAAAATAGTCAATAAATACAGTATTTCATGAAAATACAAAAAAAATATCCACCGAAAAGAACGAATAGCGATACCGCCAAAGTTGACAATAAATAAAAGAAACTCCGTTTAACGCTGACTTAAATGAAGAACTCGATGAGTTTGTTGCTGCTAGTAATCTTGCACTTAGCCAAGTACTTGGCTATTTAATTGTTCAAGTTGGCAAATTTAAACGAGTATGAAAGATTTAAAGATCCGTACAATGCAATCTGTCTTATAGATAGTGCAGAATACCTTGATTCCAACACTCGATCAATCGAATAGATAAAACATAATAAAATGCAAGATTTTAATTATTTCTTGCTATTAATCGTATTGCAGAAAAACTTTAGTTGCATGTAAAGAAATTATTGAAGTCGATGGCGAAATTATCGAGAGCAAAAAATTGATCATGTAACCACTCAGGGTCTCACAAACAAGTTGAGTACTATTGATAACTGTTATATTACAACTTCTTAACAGTACGTAAATGGAGTACCTTGTCTTCTAAATTTAATCTAACGCCTTCGAACCAATATTTCATATTTTATCCGAGTGAAATCGTATAGATGATGTTATTTTTGCCCTAATCCTGTTTTACACATAGATAAATGCTTTCAATTCAACCCAGGCAGACAATAAACGGCCAGAAAGGCGTTTAAACGCGTTAAAAAAGCGTTTACACCGTTTTAACTCGTTTAAACGCGTTTACTACTGAATCTTTCACTTTTAAATCGTTTTTACAGTTTATTTTCAACTAAATTTGACAAAACCATTAAAAAAGGCCCCAATTTCGTGTTTTTTTCGAAAAAAAAACGTTTTAACAGTATTTTTCCGTTTTGCTTCGATTACCAAAAACCAATCCAAACTACAAAAATTTTATTATTATGCTGTCAGTAAGTCATGTGCATCGTTACTAACTACTTGCTAGTAGGTGATAGTCTGTCCTACTAATCTGTTACTAATGCGTAGTAAATTTTTAATTTAACTATCCTGTGACAGTTATGCCTGGTTGAATGTATCTAAATCACGTAACACAATAGAGTGAGTAATCAGTCTGATTACTTTCTAGTAAATAGTAAATTTTACGACTCGTTGTTTATTACTAACAGACAACTGATGGTTAGAACATGTATCTTTTACTAATAAACAGCAAAAGATCAGGTCCGATATTTATTATTAGTGAACAGAAATTTTAAACCAAGAAAATTTTTTTATTGTCATTAAGTCGAAGTCAAAATCGATAGCAGTATAACGATCTACACTGAAAATCCCTCCGTGTAGTGAGTTTACATATTCTATATTGATGTATTGTCAGTGTATCTACTCAGCAATATTCCACTGTCAATTAAAAACCGTTAAGACAAATATTGTTCGGTGTTAATATCTGATGAGAATGTAAAAAAGCTTATCTTTGATTTGCATCAGAGTAACTGCCGTAAACTGATTTGCTAAACAGGAATAGTCGTGCAGCACATCTCATGCTGAATATCTTTAACAATCAGCGTATAGACAATTAACGTTATAGTGATTTGTTCAATGAATATTACAACATCATCTTAACCAATATTGGTTTATTTTACTGCACATTTAAGAAGATTAATTCTAGCTCAGTTGTATTTTGTGAACTGTAATAAGTGCAGACAAATATTGTTAACGTTCAAAAACTGTGGAAGGGGGAAATCATCATTAATGTTACTACATGTTAATATATCATACTAACAACATAAACGATTCCTTCCTTCTTAGATTATATGATAATCATAATCTTCTATATTTCTCTTTTAAAAGTGCAAGTACGTATGGGCAACAATCATGTTTAACCAAGATAAACAAGCTATCCATGTACTCATATAGGTTATAATTAAAAAATGACATAGAGTTTAGCTGTTTCAATAAAAGTTTCAAAACTTGACTATTGTATATTTCATCTAGTTATCATCGTCACATAGAAACAGAGTTATCATCAGTCCACATTTGCAAGAAATTTTTTCCATTCTGTCTTTTCTTTCCGTTCGTCCAGTTCACAGAAAAAGGAAAAAAGAGGTCATTCTTTTATCACTCTCTCTCATCCGATTATTCGTCTGTTCTTTTCATTTGGAATTCATTTGTGTTCTGTTTCGTTCACAGAGTAGTTGCCTAACTGAGTAGGCCATTTTATTTCTAACGTATACTTAAAATTAATCTTAAATTCACTATATGTAATGGCACACTTCTTTTGTGTAAGACTGGGTATGTTCGAATTAGATAAGTTCTTTTCTGCGGAAATCACTCAGAACGAGAGAAAGAATAGGACACTTACTGCATTGCTATTAATAGGGAGTTTCTGTGAAAAATACTTCAATATTCACTAGGTTAGTGTTGACTTAGACATAACATGTACGATACTTATGACAATACAACTAGCAGAGTCGCTTGCATACGATAAACATAGCAGGGTCCATTAAATATTCCTCACTTGAAATGTTTCATATAGAATGTTCATCACGAATACATGTGACATATGAGACGTTTGAAACAGTTTAGTTTTCTACTCGATGAAAAGGGAATCTTAAGTCATCGAAATATGAATGAGCTTTAAAAGAAATATCGTCACTACAGGAAAAAGTAGATAGCATTCTGATGCATAGGTGTGGCTTAATCAATTTCGCGACCGACTTAATACATACTATAATTATGAGATTTCGTAGTGCGTTGATGACATTTCTAGTTATATCATATCTTCGTACTTTGATATTTTAGAATTTGATCGAAATGAAGTTAAATTTATTAATGATACTTGAAAAGAACATGTGTCTACCATAGTAGTTCCGATTGTAGTTTTCCTTATATTAGAAGCTGGTTAGATAGTCCGTGCTTTGCCTTTTCATCAATTCCTGTGTTAGTCGTACTATTTTAAATCTATTCATCAGTCTATCTTATCCGTCACTTATTTGAAACATGAATGGAAATAATTCAGTTTTCTTCTCGTTGATAAACTGATCGATTATATTCAGATTATCGTTAGATTAATGTTAAATTGACATATGTTTATAGTTTATACTTTGAAAACAGTGCAGAGAATTTATCTCTCATCAGTTCGTTTCGTTTTATGTTAAGAGTAAGTTTACATTTTACTATTTACTTGTTGGTATTTTTTTCTTTTTGTTTTTTTTTCTAATAGTGGAATGGTATGACAAGGTGTTAATGCTGTTCGATTAAACGTACATGTTTTATCTTTCTTTCCACTATTGAAAAAAACAAAAAGAAAAAAATACCAATAAGCAAATAGTAAAATATAAATTTATTCTTAACATAAAAAGAAACGAACTGACGAGAAATAAATTCTCTGCACTGTTTTCAAAGTATAAACTATAAACATATGTCAATTTAACATTAATCTAATGATAATTTGAATATAATCGATCAATTTATCAATGAGAAGAAAATTTAGTTATAAATTATTGGTACTTTATCGTTTAGGTGAAACGTTTGTTGATCATTAAGAGGCATGACAAGGGAAATTATTTCAACTGTTTAAACAGTGTCATTAGTCGCCAAAAACGCGTTAAAACAGTTATAATTTTAATGACTCCAAGCGTTTAAACATGTAAAACGTGTTAAAAGTTAATTTTTCATAAACTGTTTTAACGCGTTTTTGGCGACTAATGACACTGTTTAAATAGTTGAAATGTTGAGACGTTTAAACGCCGTTTTTGCCGTTTTGTTGTCTGCCTGTTAAACACTTGTGCCGTATACTGTAGCAGCAGGATGTGCTTATTATATGTCGTATTTACTTTGGTTATTTACACGAGAAAAAATATAAATCGATGTTACAAAATAGCAAGAAAGCGATGATTAAGAAAAAGAACGTAGATGCATAAGAAAGTGAATGCTTAAGGGTATTTTTTTTTTCCTTTCTTCATGATCCTTTTTGTTTGCTCCAATTCTGTTTTACAAACAAAAAGTAAGTGCCTTCAATTCAAGCGGTGCTGTCACACTCTCTGTTATTTCAGGACATGTTTATATTATGGAATATTTGTTTAGGTTATTTGCATGAGCAAACAGTATAAAATGATTATAAAGAACGAGTAACATGTTATTACT